TCTTCTTCTTCAACCACAGCAGGAACGATCCAGCTAGTGTGCGCTCAAGGATGGACGATTGCCAGCCTTGTCCGCTTGTAGCGGAACAGCACGAGTGCCCGTAGGCGGGAGAGATAAATGCGTCGAGACGCCATCCAAAAAAAGTGTCGTTAAAAGATTTAGATCACTCATCTAGCGCATGAAGGTCACGCTGCCTCGCTGTGACTCTGTACAGTTCCTGCAGTCTGACTTCCATCTGCTTCAGGGAATGAAGATGTAGCACGTGCTTCACATGGAAAATCTCTTGTCTGATGGTGGTGAGCCTGCGGTGAATCTCCGCCTGCCCTGCCGCCTGCCCCTACAGGAAGGTCAGCTGTGCCTGGATTTGACCCTCTGTCGAGCGCCTCATGTGGTAGCGGAGCGGTCAGTGCTACATCACTGTCTGAGCCAAACTGAAAGCACGAGGGCAGCAGCTCAGCTCTGAGCAGCAAAAGAATGTACATGTTCTGGGATGCATGTTCAAGCTGATCAGCTGTTGCGACACTTGCGCTTTTGTCGTCGTCAAGCACCCAGTAGTCAGATCCCCTGCGCACCAGAGTGGTGTAGTGACCTGCTGCGAGCTGTGGACCATGATGCACAATGCACGCTACATGTACATACCAATCCCAACGCAGAGTTAGGTCTTCGGCCCCTGTGAAGAACGGCAGTCGCAGCCCTTGCGGCAGCACAAAAGGGTGCTGTCGCTTGCCAGGCCTGCCCCGGTGCAACGTGCTTCTGGGAAGTTGCAGGAAAACCCACGGTGACAGGCCTAGTAAGGCGTGAGTGGACTCCTGGTGGGACCACTGGCCTATCAAAGACTGCACGTCTGGATCTCCTGGGTCAATGCTATTCAGCGTAAGGCAGGAGCCAAAATGCCCCTGATCTTGGCACACGAGCTCGCCTTGAACGAGCATACGAGCTTGCCAATGATACTGCAACTGTGACGGGGCTAGCTTGGGAACTAGAAAATCCAGGAATTCAGCCACGTCATGCTGAGAGTCTGGCCTGCTCCACCCCAAAAGTTGAAACCCCAAAGCTCGTCTAGCTTCAAGCGCTGCTTCTAGCCTGTCGCGAAAGGCCGTTGGCAGCAAAATGATGCTGAGTGCCTTTTCCAAGATCATAAGACAGTAGACACTCGAGTTGATATAACAGTGGTTGTGAGGATTTCGGAGAGTTCTGCAGGGAATGAGGCTGTGGCTGTGCTCGGAGTGGTCAGTGGCTGGAGAAAAGGGCGGGGGGGAGGGGGAGGGATTGCTCGTGTAGGTGGGTGGGTTGGTAGGTTTAGGGGCGGTGTGACGTTTAGGGTGAGGTTTAAAGAAGGCACGTATATCCGTACTGCGTACAACAGGCCGGCTTGGCGTCGGTAGATCTCCTGCCCCAGCAGCTTGGCTAGGTGCTGCTGTGGAAGATCGTCCTTCTTCATTGACATCCCCACAAGAGAGGTCAAGGCGTTGCCGCTGAGAACTCCGAACCCGCTGTGCACGTCGTCCGCGGAGGGGTGACGAAGGGAGATGATCAAAGAGAAGGTCGCCTGCTGATGGCCTTCTTCTTCGATGCGCTGGAGGCCCTGCGTCGACTGAAATCGATGAATGATCTCTCCGCTCATGTGGCTCTGCAGCTCGTTGAGCGTGCGAATGGCATTCTCGTGAAGGAGGGGGGCTCGGCGAGTGTCCGGCACAAGGCAGCGCTGCTTGGAGTCCCAACGCAGGTAGTTCCACTGCCCTTCCGAGTTTAGCCATTTCGCTTGCTGAAGGCTGGCACGGCCTTCTTCGGTGGCCGAGACCTTCTGGGCTCGCTGAATCAGCTCTTTGAGGAGGCAGTTCAGGAGCAGGGTTCTCAAGGGAGACTGAACTTCGGTGGAGCCCGCCTCCGCTTTCTCCCGATTGGCTTTTGCCACTGCCATGAGTGCTGGCAAGATGCTGTGCTGATCTTGCTTGAAGAACATCACATACCCCATGTCCTTTCGGAGATTGGAGAGAAATGATTCGTGCTTCAACAACAGCTTGCCCATGATCTGCACGGTGGGATCTTGTAAGGAGCTCGCGGGGGCTGCTTGGTAGGTGGCTGGGAACTGTGTCGGGGTCATCCGCTGTTGTCGGCGCTGTGGTGGCCAAAGTGGCCTCTGGCGCTTGTTGGCGCCCTGTGGGGGGTTCTGCTGAGTGTCCTGCTGATCTCCTGATGTCGCTAGGGCCTGCCCGAAGGGCATACAATGGCGGAAGATGTCGGCCTCGATCTGGGCTTGATTCATGATCCTGCTGATGAAGGTTATGCCGACAGAAGCAGACTGCAACGGTCAATTGATTGAGCACAACACACTGCACAGAGTGACGTCCTGGAGCCCCTACCACGTGCCCGCACCAGCGGCACGACCTACCCCTTGTAAGGTGGCTTTTGTAGGCTTTGCTAAGTTCTAGCGCTTGAGGAAGGATGTGTGGGTAGTGGGAGTGATGGGTTTTGTTGTAGTGCTGTCTAATGTGTCTGTAGTCCATGATCCACATGTTGCAAATGACACAATGTTGTTTGAGACGAGCCTTGGTGTCAGGACATGCAAGAAGTCTGTCCCACTGCTGAAGCATCCGATGAAAGCTAGGGTCGAGCACAAGCGGCACTGCATCTGGAAAATTTTGCGATTGCTCACCCTCCTGTTGGTCCGGCATTCGCTCGTCCGGATGGGCCGATTGCCTCCTGAGAAGATGGTTGTCGGGGGCAACTGGGTGGAGCTTAAAGCTGCTGCCTCCGAGGACCGGACAGGAGGCCAACTCAATGTGAAGACGCAATTGCCTCCACTTCGTGAAGTTGCGCAGACAAAGTTTGCAAGTGGGCATTCCTGCGACGGAGTGCGCCTCCGCCCTAAAGGTATGCCGCGCAGGGGCCTGCTTAGGCTGCGAGGCATGTTGAAGAGCTATATGTATTTTGAGAGCATGCTCAGAGCGCAGCACCTGATCACAATGTGGGCAGGGGCGCTCTTCCTGGGGAGAGTCTGTTTCTTGTAGTACGGCGAGGCGCTGCAGTGTGCTAGCGAGGCTCTCAAAGAGCCGTAAGAGACTGGCATGGACCAAGTCATTGGTCACTATATCCAGGTGGCATAAAGACTGCAGTGGGTCACGCTTGGCACAGAACTTGCTAAGTCGAGTGTGCACTAGCTGACCTGGCGGCTCCAAGCGTGCAGCCTGCCAGAGGTCCTGATTGGACAGTCTTGTTATGTGCACCGGCTGACGCAGAATGGCCCTGATGTGCCTTGTCGCCAAGACTTGAAGCTTGCGGACACCTTCGACAGTGAAGCCCACTACTTCAAGAGAGTAGATAAGGCTGGTGCTGATGCACGCCTGCCACAAGCGGAGCTTGTGTCCCTTGCCCAGCGGTCCCTTCCCATTAAGGACACGCCTAATCATGGTGTACTTGTGTTGTGCTGTCGCAATTCTGTGATCCGTGTTGAGGTCGAGGCGGTTCCAATATGCTATCTTGGTGCCAAGGTATTCATGTGATTCCTTGATTTGCAGTGATTGGTGCCTACCTAGGACCTGCAACCGAAGAAAAGTTTTTCCCTCCTCCTGGAAAACCCGATCACCCAGTATCATATCAGCATCCTTACCTTCCAGCCGGAGCAACAGAGCAGTCTTTTTGTAGTTCACTGACAACTTGAATATCGCAAGAAGCTCAAGCAGCAGTTCTACATCCCGGATCGCCTGGAGGAAGTCGGCTTTGCTGGCGATGGTCCAGCACGCACAGAGGTCGTCTGCAAACAGGGTAAGGATCCGCTGGACCCAGCTGAGGTCCCTATGCCCGATAAGGCCTTTCATCACGGAAATGCTGAAGCAGACCCAGAGAACTGGAGCAACCCGGCATCCTTGTTTGATTCCATTGGTGGTGGTAACATGCCCTGTTTGGGTTCGGACATCAAAATGGTACCGAGCCTCCTTGTGGAGCTGCTGGATGGCTGCAATGATGTCGCCGGGGACACCAAGATCCTGAAGCGATTGGGTCAATAGGCCACGGCTGACGGAATCAAAGGCCTTGGAGAGGTCGAGGGAAAGACAAACCCCCCCTGCACATCGCAGGGTGGCAACCCCTTGCCTACGTTTGAACCGGTTGTCAAGGTTATCCTTAAGAAGTTTGTCAACCGCCTCAAAGTGTTGATGCACTCTGAGGATGGCGTCTGCACACCCTCTGCCCTCACAGTAAGCATACTGTGGCAAATGATCCAGCCATGGGCGTATGTGCCACTGAATTTGTTGGGCCAGGATACCAGCAAGGATTTTAGGGTATGGTGGCATAAGGCCTATCGGTCTAAGGGCACTAACTTCGGTGGGGGGTTTTGACGGCTTGGGAAGCCAGGCCACATGGGTGTCGCGCATATCACCCTCCAACTTGGCTGGGTTGCCCGCCCTGAAGTGATGGTTGAGGGCCCTCGTGAGTGGCCCACAGAGGCTGCCTGCACACAGCTTCCAGGCAGCATTGGGCGCAGTATGCTTGGGTACTGCCTTCCTGGGGTTGAGTCTGCTCAACTCTTGGGCGAGGACCGATTCATGAAACACTAGTCCGGTTCGGAGGGCCAGCTGCGGGGCCTCGTCCGAATGGCAAGCGAAGGTAGACTTACTATAGTCCATGACAGCTTGTAGTTCAGCCTGTGCTGAGAGAACTCTGCCCTCGGCATCCTTGAGGCGGGAGATTCCTCGCAGACGACGTGGTGCTAGCTGCTTAAGTACCTGAAAGAGCCCTCTTTGGTCGCCCACCTTGGCTGCATGTTCAGCGCGCTGCAGCTGATCATGATGGAACACGGCCTTGAGCTGCTTACTTTGTTGCTTGAGGAGACGAGAGGCTTTGGTGAACTGCGCGTAAGCACGCCACTTTTGCCAAATACCCTTCAAGGATCCACCTGCAATGGCTTTCATCTGTCTGTAGAGGCTCCAGGTGTGTTTTGCACTGGCACGAAATGTTACATCAGCACTTACCCGACAATCAGGCTTGGGCTGTGGTGGGAAGTGCCGGCACGTTTCCTCAAGAAGGATGCCATTCAGACAACGGTGGGTGCCCTCTATGGTCGCCTGCTCCGGCAGTAGAGCAGCTCGGGCTGCAACCGCCTGTTGCAATGCCTGGGCGGCACACGAATGAGACACGACGGCAGCCTGCAGTGCAGTGGCATCATACTGCTGTTGCCTGGCAGGCTCCGCGGCAGGTTGCCACTGAAAGGGGCAAATCGGCAGCACGGCCTGAATGGGCAGATGGTTGGCCAGGCGATCCCCAGCAACCGGAAACCCCTGAATCGGCCTAGCAGTCTTAGCCCCCCGTCCAGAGTCCTTAACCCTAGCCAAGATGAAATCAATCTGGCTCTTGGTTGTGGTGGAGGAGTAGGTGTAGGCAGGTTTTGCGTGGAAGGTGTTGAGCGCGCAGAGATCAAAGTCAACAAGCAGATTCTGCAGATCGTGGTCCTGTTGGTGCTGAACTGCTTGACGGGGCACGGCACAGCCTACATGCGGGTGAGCAGGGCTCACCGTGGAGTTCATGTCTCCCGCAATGACTACTTGGTGTCTTGCCGGAATGGATCCTAAGACAGACTGCAGCTTGTGCCAGACCTGTCCCCGAAGCTGACGATTCTTGGTCTCACTGAGATGAGTACGATGCACATGTTGATAGATCCCCAAGAAGTCAACAGGAACCTGACTACGCCTATGCGTGGCCCTTACTTGAAGAAGCCTTCCCGCAACAAGCTCTGAAGTGGTGATGTCAGAGAAGGTTTTCTTAGAAAGCATGATGAGAACCCCTGCACTCCTATCTGGCAATTTGTCAGCTGTGTGGCCAGACGTGTGAACACAGCTCCACGGTCCACTGCTGAAATCCTCAACCTCATGCCAGTGTGTCTCCTGTAGAAAGACTGCATCCCACGGCCCATTGACCTCTAACCACGCCATCAGTTCCTGAAAAAGTGACGAACTAAGGCCTCCTACATTCCAGCTGAAGATGCGCACGTGAGGCATGGGCCTGGCTGGGCGCTGCAGCTTGTGAGAGCGCACCTGCGAGGCAACAGCAGGCAGGTGGGGGCCGGGACGATACAAGGATGCTAAGGATTTCTTGGTGTGCCATCTGCCCTTGTACATGGTTCCACCAAGTGGTGAGATGTTGGCTCTATGGCAAGCTCTCTTGTATGCTCTCTTATCGCTGTGAGTGATTCTTGATGTTGTGATGGGCTGGTCTCTCCCACCTGGAAGCGCAGAGTCGCTGTGCTTCCCCCACGGAAGGCCATGCCGTCCATGAGGTCCCTCCTCTACCACGACAGCAGAGGAAACCCTCACCCCAACCGTAGCGTGCAAGGTTATCAGACCTAAGGTGCTAAGGGAGTGTCTACGGCCTCCGGACTTGGGACCGGAGAGGCCCTGATTGAAAGAGGTAACTTGATGAGGCTTAAGGTGCTTACTCGGGACTAAGTTATGAGCCGTACGGGTTAAATGGTGGCTAGAAGCTCCTGCCGTGGGCCGTGGCCACAGCAATCGGCACGCCACGTGCTGCAAGGCGCTGGCAGTTCGCTGCCATGGGAAGCTCGCAATACCTTGTGTTGAAAGCGCATTGCTAGTGGACGAGCTACCGCTTTCCCTCCTATGCCCAGAGAACCGACTACAGGACTTTTTAGAGATGCGTGTCCGGTGGCTTACCCGAGGCATGCCGGGCTTTTGGAAGCGCTGTGCCCGAAGACTTCTTGGTCTCCAGACCGTGGCAGCACCGTCGTGAGGATGGAGAGGTGCATTGGTGCCCTTGGGAGCCTTAGCCCCTCCGTTCTCCAGCATGTCGGTGGCCAGAGTCTGAGTGGTCCTGCTCGCGGGTCCTGCAGGGCGGATCGGCTGGTGCTGCTGTTCGCCAATCGTGAACTGGTCTCGGTGCGGGCGGACCGTAAGGGCCAGGACCGCGACGGAAAGGACGACTCCGATGAGGGAACCTCTCGCCACCCTCACCTTCACGCTCGGCATCCCGTCTGGGTGCCCTCC